GTAGTCACCACTCGGGGCTTGGGGCTCGACCCAACCACAGAGGAGGGAGGGGAGCCAGGGGAAGGAGTCAGAGAGGCCAAAGGAGGAGCAAGGTCGGGGCCCAATGCAGCGGAGGCTACAGAGCCCGGTCTTCCAATACGGACCGACTCGGGGGCTTGGTCGCCCACCCCACGAGCCTGAAAAGGTAAGCCAGAAGCAGCCGAAACAGGGGTTATCATCCTGACGAAATTACGAATTCACTCACGAATGTGCCCCCACACCCACCATGGAGCCACAATTAGAGGCAGGACACCCAACAAGAAGCTATCGCCGATCTTGTCGGGGCCTCCTAGGGGTGCGTCGTGAGTATACGCCCCACAAACGCCACCTTAAGAAACCGACAGTCCGTCGAGATCGGGTTCAGTGACGAAGTGGGGATTGACAATAAAAGGTTCCCCTCGCTCTCGACGTCGGGTACTGCAGTTCTACGGGTGCATGAGTATGCCTCCTCAAGCACCCGGGCGTCAAAGTAGAAGAAGTCCAAGGGAAGAACCAGAACGAGCAAAAGGTCGGCAGGAAACGGCAAGCAGATAGGAGAAGAGGGGGGAGAAAAACGAAACAGAAGGAAAAGGAAAAGATGCCCAGCAGAATTGGAGAGGACGGCAGCAGGAGCACAAGGCTAGAAAAGGACAGAGGACTGTCCCAAGGAGCATCACACTCCGGCAGCCGCCCACTAAGCCCCCAGACGGCGACAACGAGCTGAGCGGGGAGGGGGTCACCGTGACAAGGTAACTGAGGAAAGGAGGATAGAAGCACAAACCAGTGAATCTGTACGATGGTACAACATGGTTGCAGCTGGCAATCCCAATCAGTATGGCCGAAGAGGAGGACGACGAGTGAGAGAATCTGTAATAGCGAGAAACCGTCTTGGATACAAATATCCATGGAGATTTGGAATGGAAACAACAGTTGATCAGCGAAGTTGCAGAATCTGTGGTGAGAGTGATGGACACCGCCTTGACCACTATCTACGTGAATGTGAACACCTGAGAGACATTAGGAATAACTGTAGAATAATAAACCCCACATTGTTTGAGTTAGGAAAACACTATTTGTCAAATATTGATACTGTTCTTAAAAGATTTCCCCATTTTGCACCCGCAAGATAACGTAAGCTTTTAAGGGTTGATAAATGTTAATCTTCTTGTTTGAGGAGCTGTTCACTTGAGACAGTTAAGCAAGTCCCAGCTGTGTCTGGGTACAAGTGACAGGATGAACAACCCAGCGGGTTTTCTTCCTATTGGGGAGTGTTGTACATTCTGCTATGGCGGTATGTTCACTCACAAGATGAGTGGCGCTGCCCAATAAACTCGCCCCTCGGGGCAAAATTTAATTTAAATTTGTTGAGACATAGGGTAAATAGGGTCCAGTCTGCCTTAGCAAACTGCCACCTAGGGAAAGAGAGGGAAGGGGGAAAAGAGAAAAAGGAAACAAGGATGGGGAAATGATCACTTCCATGGAGGTCATCAAGAACCTGCCACGTGAAATCTAAGTAAAGAGAAGAAGAGCAGAGAGAAAGATCAAGACAAGAAAGGGTGCAAGTCCGAGAGTCCAAATGAGTGGGCTCACCAGAATTCAGAAGAGACAGGGAAGAAGAGAGGAGAAACGGCTCAAGGAGGCGACCCCGGGTATTCGTCAGAATGTCACCCCAAAGAGAATGACGACAATTGAAGTCACCCAGCAGGAGCACAGGCTCCGGCAAAGAGTCTAGGAGGTGTTTCAAATCAGGAAGAGAGAGCGGGACACTCGGGGGGAGATAAATGGAACAAACTGTGTACCATTTCCCCACAAAGATACGAGCAGCAGAACAATGGAGAGGCGAAGGAAAAAGTAAAGGAACAAAGGGAACATCAGCACGAATCAAGAGAGCAGAAGAATTAGAAGCCCCAGCAACGGACAGAAAAACTTTTTGCCCATTTGTCTCGGCCTTCACCGGGGATCGAACCCGGAACCTCAGGACTACGAATCCGAAGCGCTGTTCACTCGGCTGTCAGGCAGGGAAGGATTCAGCGAATTGGCGTTTTCATACAAAAAAAAAATCCTTTAGGAGATTTAGAGCAATTTTTCGTCAGATCCCCACACGTTTCCTCGACTATGAGGTGGGGCGGGGGATAATTCTTATCCTTTCTCCCAGTTTCCCAAAATTGTCACAGATGACTATGAGGTTGAGTTTAGTCCTGGAGTGCCATGCTTAAACTCTAGGGAGCTTCTGAGATGACCGCACAGGGGGAAATAAATTCAGTAAATATCATACAAAGGAACTTTAGTAAATTCAGGACATTGTTTCTCTCGTCAGGTTGTCAGACGCCCTTTTTTTGGGTCAACTCTGAGTGTTTCTACGTTCACGAGAAGTTTGATCTGACCTGGCGCCAGGCAGCCTCCTCCTGCCAAGGGCTTGGAGGCGACCTTGCGGAGCCCAAGTTCTTCGAGGTTCTGGTGGCCGTGATAATCCAGCGCTCAGGTGAGTATCCTGGTCACACCCGCTGGCAATCAACATGAACACTGGAATAACGAGCGCACTTTCGCATGTGATCAAGCCATTAGATAATACTAATAATAATCAATATCTATTAAAAATACATTTGTCTGTCTGAGGTTGGAGACTCCTGGGCCAAGCCTCATTAAAATGTGCAGGATGCCTGGTGTAGGTTTTTTTTCCGTCCTAGCATGTGCAAAACCACAGAAAATGCTGTGATCTCACCTGCCCATACTTTCACGCTAAAGGTATGGATACCTTTGCCACTACATAAAGAGTGGCAAACAAGAAAATGCCTTATACCTGCATGGGGTCCTGGGCGTTTTTTTTACTCTCCAAGTCTGGCCCGGAACCAGGGCTTGACTTTGCTTTGCAGGAAAGTCAAATAATGTTTAAATTAATACCACTTTTTCTGTTCAAAATGTGAAACAATGAATATATAGAACTGGATGAAAGACCCCACCTGCATACTAGAATCAGAAGATACAATTGAACCCCACAGCAGTTACAATTACGACAGGCAACCCTACAACGATCAGTACTAATCAGAATAAATCAAATGTCTACGCATAATGGACCTGCCAGAAGTCTCCCAGTCAATCTACCCGAAATAAGAGTAACCTCGTTCACCTTTGCCAACATAAAAGGACTACAAACGAGCAAAAAACGAAGTTCATAAATGGCCTTCTCACACGAGTCACGTGCAGTATTTGGAGCTTTCACTGAAACCCATGCAGGGGAATTCTTGATCAGTCAGATCTGCCTAACCCAAGATGAATAGCAATATTATACCAGGAAACTATCTGGACATAACCAACCACAGATTAGAGAACTACTTAGATTGTGACAAATTTTCACTCGACCAACAGCTGGTCTTAAACAATGAAGACAATCAGGGACATTACAATTTCATACCACAAGCTCATTGAAGTGCAAACTAACATCAATACTCATAATAGACCTAAAACGGTAATCAAGCGAGACGGGTTATTCAGTAAATCCAGATTGAATAATAAAGGGATACTGTATTGGGAAAAATAAAAAAATGGAACTTACAAAACCTAAATGGGAGTTTTTAATAGTAATAATCCCACACAAGGAATAGAACCAATAACTACAAAAGCATATAAAATTGTCTGAAACATGTTCCTTTTGAGGAAATCCAGAAAGAGGTCCAACGTAGAAAGAGAACGCAGACACTACAAAAGGGGTAAAAAATGCTTAAAAAGACATGACTTCCTCTACAAAGGAAAAGTTTAACCAGGGAGATTGAAGAAATCGAGCAGACTGAAGTTGATGGGGCCATAACATAGGAAAGGCAAAAGTGGTTTAAGTTCAATCAAACTATTTTGCTAGTTGTATATGAAAAGGGATGCAATTGGTCCAAGTTTCAGCACAGCCCCCTAAATAGAAAGTGAGAAGAAAAAAAAACAAAGTTATCAACGAATTTTACACATTTTCAATAAGCTGTAAACCACAAGTTTAAAATTAAATAATTTCTACGACACTCTTCTATCACATTAGCATATAATAAAGGATTTGTTAAAGGAGATTATCCAAAATATGTTTAGTTTTACAAATACAAAGTCAAAGTTTCCAACAAAATTTATGCCAATATATCATGTTTACAAATATTTATAAAATCAAAAAATGAATTTAAGTGTTTAGACAGATTGTAGAGACGTACAACTCTACATATAAGGTGTACGTTTCATACATATTGAATAAAAAATGAAAGCAAAAGCAATTTTGTTACTTGATAATAACTGAAGTCAGATTCTGCCACCTGTGGTTGAGGTTGACAACCAATTTCCTCCAAATCGGCACACTTACAGATAGGCTTACGTTCTGTAAGGTGTAAACGTTTCACGCAAATCGCGCGATAAAAAAAAATGAACAAATTTGAAAAAAAAATCTAACATTTTGGTTTTTAAATAATTTTTTCCATAAAACTAATTATTAAATATTATACGCTATTGTGATTGCTTAGTGTCAGACATGATTTCAGTTGACACTTGTGTTTGATAATTTTTTACCATTTTTGAAACATTTGGCAATTCAATATTTTTTTCTCCCTTCCTATTTATTCTACAATGCTGAGACTTTGACCAGATGAAACCAGTTTCATATACAATTTGTCAAAAACGTTTGACTGATATTGAACCAGTTTTCATTTATTGCATTTTTAGTGGTTATGCCACCTTAATGCATTGCTGCTCTTATATCCATATATTTAATACCTCTCTTACATGCTAATTATACTGGCTTAATGCCGCCTGATAGTTCGTTCCTTACCTTTACCTCCCTCTTCACTTAACACATGCAAACCCCATCCGTACATAGTACTGTACATGGTACAACCACAGCATACTATATTAATTTTATAAACCAATAATTCATCAGACCATAAGCTCCACCTCCTGCATACAGTAAATGCTCTTCACATTTAATAACATTAAGAGTAAGGTATGTTCAAAAACAGTCATAGTGTTGACATTTTATTTATGCCGCCTCTTTTTCCTTCAAATCTTTGTTCCTCCTAATAAAGGATCGTACACCAGCGGCTGCAACGGTGGAATAAGCATAGGCACCTCCAGCAACTGTCCGACGGCAAGGCTTGCATGACCAAATTCCTGTTGCTACACGCCGCATTGCTTCCTGCGAAAGAAAGCATTACTGAATAGTGGAGTGACAATATTTTTTATCTAGATGCAAATAAATTGTAAGGTGGTTGAGAAAGCCATTACTAGGCATCCCCTCAACAAAGATAGAGTTTTATGGCCTACAGGGCATGCAATAATGAGCTAATGTAATTGGTATGGGAGAACAAATACAGGTGTTCACAATGAGTGATGAGTAGAGGTTCAATTGCACCTTAAAAGCTTTAATCGCTGAATAGAATGAAGTTACAAAAAATTCAAGAACTCTTCTCAAATATACAGTACAATACTCCAATAACATGTAGATAATACAATTAAGACAGTATGTAAGACAATAACAATTAACAGTCTTACAGGACTCCTGCTTATTACAGCTTACTAAACTTTTTGATCACAAATTTTTCTTCTTCTAATTACTAATAAAAGATGCATATGGGTAATAAATGACATGACCAGTCACAAAACTACAAACACCCATGCACCATTATCAGCCAACAAAATGCCATGCTAGCTTGCATATCAAAATAAGACTAACACTTGGTGGGTAACAAGGAAGCAATTATCAATAAGTAATGGTAATTATCAAAAGGCACCAAGCCAGGTAGACTATATAGCACCATTTATGTCGCCCTATATTACTAAAAATGACAATACGAGAACACAAGGAAACATGGAGAGGGATATCAAAGGAATTGGATTCACCACCAAGGATTCTATCAAGACAAATGACCCCAAGGGAAATCTGGAAACAAGACAAGCATCCTGAAAATCAGGACATAATGATTAACATTATCGGTAACTTTGGACCGGACTCTCGTCCATTATTTTTCTCTTGAATCCTAACTTTGGACCGGACTTGCATCCACTACAAAAATATTTGTATAAAATTCATTTTTTATCCAATCGACCTCGGGATAGTATAAAAATAAGCGCCTTTAGAATGCGCACAATTTGATACCAAAATGAAAGATGTAACATGAAACTTGATGTCCGAACAATCCGAACAACCAGAATTGGATTTTGAGAGCTACAGGATGCAAAGGGTTAAATGATTCCAAAGTCACTGGGGACTAAAAAGTCAACGATGACAGGAACAATGCCTGAGAAGCCATTAAAAAAAAAACTAAAATGCAATTTATTTATCAAGGGAAGGGGGTTGGGGGCATTTAATCATGGACTCCCCCACCCCTGCCAACCATTTGGGCTAGACTGTAAAGCGACAAGTCTCGATTCCTGCAGGTTGGCGTTCAATCCCAGACCGTCCAAGTGGTTGGGCACCATTCTTTCCTCCTGTCTCATCCCAAATCCTTATCCTGATCCCTTCCCAGTGCTATACTGTATAGTCGTAATGGCTTGGTGCTTTTCCCTGATAAATCCCTCTCCCCTGCCTTCCCGAAAATTGCATGACACTTTGACCATGATGGAGCAAGGAAGTTTGGCAAGCCACGGGCATTGAGCGAGCAGTCGCCCGGCTGCACTTGCCCTAGCAAGGATAGGAGTTGCCAAAGAAATTTTTTCCTTTGTTAATGTCTTTGAATGGATTTTTCTGTTTTTTTCCAGTAATATTACTCAAGGGTAATATTGTTCAACAGTTTGTCATTTGATAAATTTATCTAACCAAATGAGTGGAATATGGTTATGTTAAAAAAAAAATATGGTACACATATTAGTGACAAATACACAAAATCACACTAAGGTGATATATATCAATGACAATTAATTGGAGCACTGAGGTTACTCAAACCAGCATATATACAGTATCGAAATATATCATGTTAGTTATTTCTTTGAAACTGGAGCTTACGGTTGATGGAATACTTTATCAACACCAGAGTGCATGGGGGTTTTATGCAAAATTTAGACTGGCTTCAGAAGCAGCTTCCTGACTTCCTGTGGATTTAGTGGAATCTCAGGTTGTATAATTTGTACCATGTCATTGTACAGGGGTAAGGCTAGGAGTCCCTTGATAACAGATTCAAGTCACCTCAGCGCTCCAATTGATTTTCCCAGTGGCCAATATTATATTCTTAGAACACTGAAACATGTGTTTTGCTGTCACAAACTGTATACTGTACACAATATAACGTATATACAGATGATTAGTAGTCACAATAACATGGCTGAAGATATGACCAAACCACACAACAGAAAATGAAGAAACATTTATGTCCATCCTGGACCAGTCAAATAATTACACGACTTTATAATGGTCCAGTACAGACCAAAGTGTAATTTTTTTATTTTCTGATGCGAGTGAGTAATTACCTAAGTGTAGTTACAGGATGAGAGCTATGCTCGTAGTACCGTCTTCCCATCACTGTCATACAGTACAACGCTTTCGAACTTAAACTTTTAAACTTTCATAAACGTTTTATATTGGGTACAGCCATAAATTATTTTATATGGGTCATTTCTGTTATAAACTCCAATTTTAAAAATTGTACAATACAATTAAACTTCTAAAAATTTACACTATACACACTGCACTACTATGCTTCCTGCAATTCTAATGTGCAGTACATGAGGAAAAGTTTGCATTTTGTGTGAACCCTCTCAATTACAGTATTAATCCCTTAACTGTGCACTTACATTAGTTACTGTACATGACAAATGGCTGGTATGCAAGGAAAGTTTTATTTTTAAAGTTAAAATGTTCCTTGGTCACAGGAAAATTAAGAAAAACAAGTAGCTTACTTTGGCTATGGTGAAGGGATTAAACTTTGCAATGCCATCACCATTTATGAACGTTCATACAGCGTGCACCATATGGAAGCCACCCTAGACTAGGCACACAGCAGAAGTTGCCACAAATTTATTTATTTGGATTTATTTCAATGTTAGATTTGTTTTTCACTTTTTTGCAGATATATTATGTACTGTAGTGTCATTAGCATTAGAGAAATTCCTAAACACACACTGTCACTAATATGCACACATTACTTTTTGAACAATAAAACTGCTTTTCCTGTTATCACACTGTATGCACATGTTATATACAACCCTAAATGTTTATGCACTTTTATGAACTACTAGGCAATTCTGGTAGGTGTGATATAAACAAATAATCCAGACACAGCATAGCCCCACACAATAGGCACCTGATGAAGCAATGCCACCTGACCTACATCGCTAACACTAGCCAAAATTCTGGTTACTAAATCCTGAATATAAATAATTTCTACATGTTAATTTTCCAGAGGAACATGTGGTCTCCTTCCATGATGCATAGATGTACCAAACCGTACCTGCACGAGTTTCAAATGTTTAAGTTCCTAAGACCATCTCAAGATGTGATTTGCAGTTATAGGGTTAAATGACCTGCATCTCACTAACCATAAGCTGCAAGGTGTAGAATACATTACAAATTAAGAAGTCAAATCTGCCAAGAGCATAAAATTACATTTGCCCATAAAGGCCAGCTTATAGCACTCAAGAGGCCACTAGAGGCCAGCTAACAGCAATCAGGTTATCAAATTTGCAATCAATAGATTACTCAAACTTAAATAGGCTACTGAAAATTTAAGGACATAAAATGCAAATAGAGGAAACTGCTGAAAGCCTATTGGACCAGTCACAGAAACTCCTATTTATACCCAATCAAACTTTTGAGGTTTGGTCAACAGCCTGGTTGACCAGACCACGAACCAGAACACCTAGTCAGAGACTGGGCCACACTGATGTTGATCCTCGGAATTATCAAAAGGCAAGCTCATTTTCCAAATGTAAAGCCACATATATCATTATATTTGACTGTTAGCTTATATTACTCTTATAATCTGCTCCATAAAACAATACACCATTTCCCAGCTAGTATCTAGTGTTTGTATTCTATTTTGTGTTAATTATTAATAATTCAGTTTTGGTCGCCGTATTATAGAATGATATAAATTCACTTGAACGTGTCCAGCGTAGGATGACTAAGTTAATTGCCCAAATTAGAAATCTTTCATATGAAGAAAGATTAACAAAGCTTAAATTGCATTCACTGGAAAGGCGAAGAGGTAGGGGTGACATCATAGAGGTTTACAAGTGGATGAATGGACATAACAAAGGGGATATTAATAGGGTATTAAAAGTATCAACACAAAACAGAACAAAACAATGGGTATAAATTGGATAAGTTTAGATTTAGGAAAGATAAATATTGGTAAATACTGGTTCAGTAACAGGGTTGTTGATTTGTGGAACCAATTGCTGCGTAACATGGTGGAGGTGGGGTCCCTCAATTGTTTCAAGCATGGGTTGGACATGTATATGAGTGGGATTGGGTGGTTATAAATAGGAGCTGCCTCGTATGGGCCAATAGGCCTTCTGCAGTTGCCTTTGTTCTTATGTTCTTATACCTTATTCAAGTACTACCTTGTACAATGAAAAATCACATTAAGGTGATGTATCAATGTGAAAATCAGTAGGAACCATGAGGATTCAAATCCCTCACTTGGCACTAGAACACAAATGCCCTTTATCACTACACCTTTACCATGATATGGTAAAAGCAATGTAGCCTGGGATTCCACTGAATTCTCTAGGGTTTCTGTTCAATCAGTTTCACATTGCCCCCATGTACTCTGCCTAATGGTAGTGTCGTGTTTCTCATTGTGCATTTGATGAGCAGCGTTGGAGATAGAACTACCAAACCATAAGCCAGAGTGTATGGGGGCAATGCATGAAACCCTGATTGGGTTTCAGTTGGAAGCCTCAAGACCTAGAGGATTCGGTGGAATTCCAGGTTGTATTGCTTTTAGCATGTCATGATGTAGTGGTCAAGGGCATTTGTTTGGGAGTACAAAGTGAGCCGATCCAAATCCTCATCATGGTTCCTCCTGATTTTCTCAATGTACTCTTATCCATCTATATACAGTACCTGTACCTTGATCGTATCACCCCTTGCTATTCACCTTTCATTAATTATACTATGCTCTTTTTAATATTTCTACACAAGTTTCTAATAGGGTTCCTGTGGTTAAATCATTTTTCTCTGAATGCTATAGTACGGTAACCAAAATTGAAATGCATAATCTAAATGTGGCCTAACATGAGCATGATTAAAATAACAGTGTTAAGGCTTCTAGATTGGTTCTTTGATCTTTAAGATCCCCACTAATCATGATTGATCTTATAGCTGTCAACTTGGCATTTCAACACTGTTGAGTAATATCTGGTAACTTTGATAAATACCTAGAATTAAAACCCTACATACATTAACACACTGCATCTGCCAATACCCAAAGATGCACTCAAGTGTATGAATGTATCTAGAGATGATTATCTAGCTGGTGGAAAATTCTCAGATTCAACAAGAGAAAATTTATGACCTAATCTAAAGCCCTGTATGAAATCTGTCCAACACTTGGGTTGGAGATTGACAGGCTGAGGGAAGCAAGAAAAGATGGCAAGGTATTGGATTAGGTCCATGGCAAAGAATGGCAAACCACAGAGTGGTTGCTGTCTAACCCCCCCTTATCCATATCTGCAAGAGGGGGCTGACTTTAAGAAAGCAACAAATCACATAAAAGATAAGACGATATTGATTGCTGGAGATTCCAAGTCATTATATGGACAGGATACAGAACACATCAAATTCAAAACTGCTAGCCAACAGATTTTAAAAGCTACCTAATTTAATGATACATGTACAGTATTACCATTTTAACTTTAAAACAAGATTTATCAAAATGTCTGTGTATGATTTGATCACTCATTTGGGTAGGGTCTTCTGCTCCTGAGACAATAGAGCTAGGGTGTTTTCCCAGGGCAAGGGTAGAGGAGTGGACAAAATGAGCAACACTGACATGCAATGGGATCAAGCCCACCATCTGCCTCTTAGCAGGTGGAAACAACACTAGCAAAGAGCAAAGTTGTTGGACAAAGCACAAATAAAAAGTATCTTTATTTTTGCCTATCCACAGCTGCCTACTGGATGAGGGGGGAGGGGGGGGGGGGAGAAGAAGCAGTGTGCCGGATAAACATGAACTGTGACATTAGCTCTCCACATACTGTATGTCCATTGCTTAATTTAGAAACTTGGTCGGTCTCTAGGCCATTGATGTTGTGACGATGTGCATTGAATTTTGCAACTAGGCCAAGACTAATGTGCTCAGCTAAATGAATTGTGGGGTTCAGTCCCCAAACCCATTATATGCCTCTGTAACCCTTTCCACTACTGCCCACAAGAGGGGTGCATAATATATTAACTCAAAACTAAAAAAAAAACTTATCTAATTTTGTTGGCCAAAATTGGATAAAAACCTTTAGTTCTAATATTGCAATATTTGTTTTGGTATATGCTATATAAAAATACTTTTCTCCAGGAGAGAACTGACCATTTCACCTAATTCACTGCAATGTTGACTTCTAATTTTAACTGTGCTTAGTGAAATTAAAAAGTATAATTTTGACACTGATTAACAAGTATAGGCCTCTTTAAGTTAAAGCGCTTTTCTTCTTCCAACCCAACTTTACATTTTACACACAATGAGTGTGTAAAATGCCTGGTCCATATAATGCTAGGTTTGCTAGTAGTTGTGACGAGACTAATAAAGCGTATTTCAAATTGCTCGCCAGGTTTTTAGATATTACTGCTTTTGGCTTCATACGGGAAAATGCAGCAACCTTTGCTTCCAAGCATGACTGTAAACTCTGGTAAGACTTAGTAAATTCTATCATTTTCATATCTAACTTCTGGAGAAAAAACATTAAAACTTCCTATTTAGTGTACACACCTACTGAAAATCTAGCCCAAACTCTAGTATTAAAGATACAATGTGTAAGCACTGACGTTGCATCTTTAAGAGGAAACTAGATTGTTTCCTTCAAGGAGTGCCGGACCAACTGGGCTGTGGTGGGTATGTGGGCCTGCGGGCCACTCCAAGCAACAGCCTGGTGGACCAAACTCTCACAAGTCAAGCCTGGCCTTGGGCCAGGCTTGGAGAGTAGAAGAACTCCCAGAACCCCTTCAACCAGGTAACTGCCAATACGCCACCTGCTTGATGGGGTTCTGAGTTGTTCTACTCCAAGCCCAGCCTGAGGCTAGACTTGACTTGTGAGAGTTTGGTCCACCAGGCTGTTGCTTGGAGCAGCTCGCAGGCCCATATACCCAATGACAATTGGCCACATTTCCAAGACTTTCTGGACATTTACAACCCAGACTAACCCTAGGATTAAATATAAAAATTAGGGAGCACCACAATGGACCCGTAGGCCTAGTTTATGCAACTCCCCCTCCCCCCCAACCCATACACCAAACTTTTATTGTGACCTGTTCAACAGTCTCAATGCTGCCTGGTATCATCCAACTTAGTGACTACAAGGAAGCAAGGTCTAGCTCTAGGACCCACCACCTAGCCATGTTGGACCTCTTATAACCTATTATGGCATTCTAAATTGTTTAACCAAGCTTAAAATTGAGGACAGCTGAAAACTAGAAAATTCTAGTTTTCACATGGGTTCAAAAGGCAATAGTGTATTAGATATAATGGTTGGATATAAATAGGAATGAATTGACAAATTACAAATAGTAGGTAAAATAAGACATCAAAGACTGATTAAGATTAAGCCACCCAAGAGGTGGCACAGGCAAGAATAGCCCGAAAGACATCAAAGTTTAGTATGGAATATACAGCAGCTGCCTGGCAAGGGCTAATAGGCCTTCTGCAGTTATGTTCTTAGTGCTTGTGTTCTTGGCGTTGTGTTGTGAGGAAGAGCAATAGGCGGCCAGTAAGAAAGCCAAGCTCGGCTACACCTTTCCAAGCCTAATAAAGTTACTCCTAACACAAGACGACCCTTGAAAATAAAGTTAAAGAGTTTAATGTGCCGAATGTAGTTTTTTATTATTATTATTACGTAACTGTTTACAGAGCCAAGTTATCTGGTCCCCAGCAGTTACTCCCTGGCCGCCTGGTGCCAGCAGTTACTCCCTGGCCGCCTGGTGCCAGCAGGGTAATACCAGGTAATACACAACACACCACTCTTGGTCAACAATCTTACCTTTCCGCAGAACGTGCAAACGTGTCTCTTGTGTTGCGTTATCTCCATCTTCTTCACCATCTTACGTAAAGAGGCGCCATAACGGGTGCCATACTTGCCCACGATGCCTGCCTTCTTCGTTCTCTTAGCCTGAGGAAGACCAAAATTACGGGATCAGGAGCGACGATTGTAAACAATCCCACACTAGCAATGTAATTTTTTCAAAGACAATTAACCTTCCAATTGTTGCGAATACAATACAATATCACAACTAATAGGTGCGGAAGGTCCCTCTATATCATGATATTAACAGTAAAGTCTGCCAGAGGCAACATAGAGGCGGATGATTGAAGATATGATGGAGGGAGGAACTTACCATGTTCCCCGTGTGTTATGGAGGAGTGAAGGAGGAGCAACGGCCGCCACCGACGCCTCTATCACACGCACATCCACATCAATATTATCCTTCCTACCACATTCTCATTAATATTAATATAAAATAATGATCAACATAGGAAAATATTTTTATAATATCAATAATAACAATAATACTTGTAATATCTGCAAAAGGTAGCAAAACAAATAAAAATTAAACCCAGCTTGGAAAAAAATCCTCAAGACAATGGCGGGAACTTTGACAAGTTCAAGTTTATTGAGAAAATGAAATATATGTTAAAAAAAATAGAGTAGCTTGGGCTATTTCTATCCTCGTCTATATAAGGTCCCCTCAAGGGACTCACAAACCCATACAGTACACAATTATTAATCATATTTTACATTTAACATTCCAATGTTAATCACATGACCTACATTTATATTTATTTATTTATTTATTTATTTATTTATTTATTTATTTATTTATTTATATACAAGAAGGTACATTGGGGGTTAAGAGGGAACATAGAAATGAAGTTGATTTTACATTCTTGTAAAGCCATTAGTACGCATAGCATTTCAGGCAAGTCCTTAAACTGACAGATAATTTTAAGTAGATAATTCACAGTAAAATTGACAAAAAATGTTTACAGGTACATTGTAAGAAATTTAGACACAAAAACAAAGATTAGAATAATACACAATAATAACAATACACTATAATGAACAAGGATTACTAGGTACATTAGAATAACATTTCAGGGTTATACATTGATTCACTGAAGCACAATTTGAGGATCATTTCAAGGAATAATGCAGTAGAATATGCACTCAGTATAACAACCATGATATCAGATGATATCTAAGATTACAATGGTAAAGTAATATGGCTTAGATACAAATATTGGGGGATTAAGTAGCACCAGATACAGTGCGAGTTAAAGCACTAGGTAGGAAACTATGATGGTGAGATTAAGTACTTTTTGGTTTTATATTTGAATAAGGCAAAAGTTGGACAGCTTTTCAATTCATTAGGGAGTGAGTTCCATAGACTAGGTCCCTTCATTTGCAAAGAGTGTTTACACAGATTAAGTTTGACTCTGGGGATATTAAAGAGATATTTATGTCTGGTATGGTGAGTATGTGTTCTATTACATCTGTTCAGGAAGAGGTTCAGAACAGGGTTTGCACTTAGGAAAAGTTTTATAAATGTAATTGACACAAAAAAATGTATGGAGTGAATTTATGTTTAGCATGTTTACGGATTTAAACAGGGGATCTGTGTGTTGTCTGAAAGCAGAGTTTGTTATTCTTCTGATAGCAGATTTTTGCTGGGTGATGATGGGCTTGAGGTGGTTTGCAGAGGTTGAACCCCATGCACAGATACCATAAGTAGGATAGGGATAGATAAGTGCATAATAGAGTGAGAGGAGAGCAGAGTAGGGTACATAATATCTGATCTTAGAGAGTATACCAATAGGCTTAGAAACCATTTTAGTTATGTGTTGTACATGGGTCCTGAAGTTAAGTCTCTTGTCTAAGTATAGGCCAAGGAACTTTCTATCATTTTTATTGCTAATGTTAACATTAGTCTGAAGCTGAATTGCATTTGTTTTGCTGAATTGCATTTTAAAAGATGGAGTGCGAAAAGATACATGAATTCAGAGATAATTCTATAACCAATGTTCCAACGATGTGTAAATATTTCATTCAAAATGATCTACTACCAGAAATCTTAGCCAAATATTCCCAGTTTGCTAACTGTAGGTAGTAACTAAGTGATTGTAACCTATCCACCGCTGCCCCACTGGATGGGGGCGATGTGCAGGACAAACATATAAATTTTGACACTAGCTCTTCACATATGTCAGGTGCTTAATTTAGAACCTGTACTTGTGGTCGATCTCGAACCCATTGTTGATGTGACGACTTATACTTAATTTTGTAACTAGCTCATCAAGATTGTAACTTGCTTAGCTAAATGAATTGTGGGGTTCAGTCCCTGAGCCCATTATGTGCCTCTGTAACCCTTTCCACTACCGCCCACAAGATGGGTATGGGGTGCATAATAAATGAACTAAACTAAAGGAATAGAGTAGCTTAGGTTTTTTTTTATTTTGCGAAGTTTGACCTCATACAATCAGCTGCTAAGCAAAAAACCAACCTCTATATAAATGAGTGTCTTACAAAGCAGCGGGGATCCCTCCTCTACAGGCTGCGCCAAATTCGCAAACAAAAACCACAAAAAACAAAAAAGGTAATTGCTTATCTAATTGTATCGTGACATTCTTATCTATATTGATATATATTATCTGTCTATTGTTACTTACAGTGTACCTGAGAGTACCTGTAAGCAATCTACCTCATTTTTCATTTTTGCTCAATTTGTTTTTGTATTGCTTAGTCTTGTTTATATTTTTGCTTTGTATATCTATATCTTGTGTTTTGTATAGTCCATGTTTATATATTTTTTCTTTAATCGCATTTATTACCTAGGTTGCCTAGCCTAGCCATACTCCCTTACTCCATTGTACCCCTGTAAGCCCCTTTTGTGTTTGTTTTGTACAGTATTGTGTACATTTTTTTTTCTTGTTTTTCCTGCAATCAGCTTTTTTTATGCAGTCAAGTATAGACCCAGAACTTAACCTCTTATCCACTATCTATGACAATAATCACTTTAATGATCTAAATTGCAGATATTTTGCAGCACATGATGTAAACAATGTATTAACTCATAATCACAATATCTCTGTAATCAATTTGAACGTTAGATCCCTAGGTAAACATTTCGATGATGTTAGTGCCTTGATTGAAGCTATTGACAACAAATTCTCTTTTATTATACTTACTGAAACATGGTTGAAAGAGGATACTACTCAACTCTTTAACATGCCTAACTACTCAGCAATTCACAACTGTCGTCAACTTCAGAGAGGTGGTGGCACTGCTCTTTACTACCACCAAGAACTAACATGCTTAAAAGAAATTAGAACTAGAGACTACTGTGGGGAGTATATCTTCGCCAGCTTCAGAGTCAAGGGTGCCGAGTCTATCCTGTCTGTGGGTGCAGTTTATAGAATTCCTAACACTGATGTGTCCGAATTCAACTCAAACCTTAGAAATCTAATACTTGATAACAGACTGAACAAAAACCACCTAATTATCGCAGGGGACTTTAATATTGACCTCTGCGAGCCAAAACACCCTACTGCTGTTAGCTTCCTCAACTGTATGAATTCCTGCTTCCTCATACCCTTAATCACTAGACCTACTAGAATCACTGATAGCACTGCCACGGCTCTAGATCACATCTGGACAAACATAACCTCTCCGCTTACTTCAGGTATAATCACCGATAGCACTACAGACCATTACCCCACATTTCTCTTAACTAACATTAGCAAACCACCTCTTGAGTCAAGAGAGATACGTTTTAGACAACACAATGAAACTGCTATAGACAATTTTATAACTGCTACTGATAATGTCAACTGGGAGTCCGAGCTAGGTAACATAGAGGACATCAACCTAGCAGTTCAATCTTTTCTTCAAAAAACTCTTAGCCTTTATAATACCCACTGTCCTATGCTTACAAAACAAGTCACAACCAAAAGGCTTAACAATCCCTGGCTCACAAAGGGAATACTTAAATCTATTAATAAAAAACATGATCTTGAGAAGAAGTATAGGTTAGGAATTGTCTCCAAAGAATTCTCAAAGAATTACTCATTATTGCTATCTAAGATAATTAGATGAGCCAAAACTAAATACTACGAAGATAAATTTACCCAAATAAAGAGCAACATTAAACAAACTTGGAGAACAATTTCACAAATATTGGGATCAAAGAAGTCTTTAAATAACAACCCGACTCTCCTGTCTAATAACGATGGTCAGCTTTCAGCCTCTGATTCTGCTATTGAGTTCAATAGGTTCTTCTCTTCCATTGGTTCATCCCTTGCTAATGATATTCCATCTTCCAGTACTGACATTAAGGACTATCTTACAGGGAACTATCCACAGTCTCTGTACCTAAAGCCTATTAATTCCACTGACGTCAATGAGACAATCCTTTCTCTTAAAACCAAGTCTGGTGCCCTTGAGGAGATACCAACTTTAATCTACAAAAAAGCCTCCAGATCTTTAGCCCCTGCTATTGCTTTGCTCTTCAACAAGTCACTTGAACTCCAAACCTTTCCAGATATTCTAAAAAAAAGCGAGAGTAACGCCTGTCCACAAATGTGGTGATCTCACAGATGTTAACAACTACAGACCTATATCAATCCTGCCAAACTTGTAAAAATTTTTTGAAAAACTAATCTATAAGCAGCTTTACTCATATCTAGCCAAACTCAATATACTTAGCCCTTGCCAATATGGCTTCAGGCCCCAAAAAAGCACTAACGATGCACTTATTAGTATGCTTAACTCGATTCATACAGCTCTTGATAAAAATGAGTTCTCTGTTGGGTTATTTGTGGACCTGCGTAAAGCTTTCGATACTGTAAACCACCAAAACCTTCTTCTTAAATTACATCATTATGGTGTCAGAGGACACTCCCTACAATACCTCAAATCCTACCTTACTGACAGGCTCCAATGTGTTTCTGTGAATAATACAATTTCTCCCACCCTACCCATCAACATTGGTGTTCCTCAGGGCAGCATACTTGGCCCTCTCCTCTTTCTGATCTACATTAATGACCTTCCAAATGCCTCCCAACACCTCAAACCAATTCTATTTGCTGACGACACAACCTTCATTTACTCCAGTCCTGATCCTCTTGCTCTAAATGCCACAGTAAATACTGAGCTAAATAAAGTCCATCTGTGGCTAACTGCCAACAAACTCACGCTTAACATTGACAAAACTTTGTATATTCTGTTTAGCAATAAATCCTCTAATCAAATAAATCTCAAAATAAACAATACCCAAATTTGTAACAAATTAGATGGCAAATTCCTTGGCATTCTCATTGACCACAAGCTGAATTTCCAGGGACACATTCTAAACATATCAAAAAAGGTTTAAAAAACTGTGTGCATTCTTTCTAAGATCAGATATTATGTACCACGCCCTGCCCTGGTGACTCT